TCTCCTGCTCGGTCGAGTATGAGTGAGGGGCGCGCATGCGCATGCGCGCCCCTCACCTGTGTCGCGCGTGTGTCCATAGCTCGCTCGCTTGTGCATCGTACCACCACCCTCCTCTTCCTTCTTCTTATTCTTTCGCCACTTCTCTCCTCTCCTCTTATTTCCCTTCCGCTATTGTACCGTTCAACCGTTTTCTCCTCTCTCTCTCTCTCTCCTTTCTCCTTTTCAACTCTTTCTTCTTCCCCCTTCCGAGATTCCCTTCTGAAAGGGGAAGATGATGGACGGTTCGATGGACGTGTAAGAGAACGCACGAATCCGATTATGAATTATACGGGATACGTATAATTGAAGAAAGGGAGGGATCGAAATCAATTTCGCGGTGACCGAACGACTCGACTCGACTCGACTCGACTCGATTCGATTTGAGCATGAGAGAGAGAGCAAAAAGGAGAGAAAACGCGATGAATAATGGAAGGTGGGGATATTTTTTCTTTCTTTCTTTCTCTTTTTTTTTTTCTCCTCGATCGATTTTAGGATATATTGAAAATATGGAGGAAAAGGAGGGGAAGAATTTTCGATTATTGATTATTGAAAAAAATAGAGGGAAGAAGGAGGGAAAGATCGACGGTCTGTCTACACTGTCTGTGTAATTGACTACTGACCGAGTCGAGTTTCGCCATGCGGAAAACACGAATATGGAGACTCTGATCGATGTATATATATTGAAGAAGGTTCGAATGGGTCTACGTATCTCGAAAGGGGATTTCATCGTATATATTAACCACTGGTTATTAAATCGGCCAACTTCCTCCTTCAAGTTCTGTGATTACGATATAGTCGAAATTCGTTTCGCGTCACTTTGGTTTCCGATCGAGAATATTTTCTTCTCCGAGAATTATTTCTTCGTACGTTGTTCGTAGATCAAGAAGACCCGATTCATCGATAGAATTTCGTAATTTTGTGTATGGGATACGCAAATACAAATGTTATTATACGCGGAAGCAGCATAATTTTCCATTCGAATTGTAGAAATCGCTACTTCTATCGCTTTCCACGTTCAATTTTTTTACGGTCGCCGGAACGGATGGAACAAAAGATCAACGAACAGTAGACGATGCTCGACGAATGAATTTCGCTACTCACGAGTTTTTCCACCGTTGCTACAAATTCGCCCCATTCGTTTCAAACCTTTTATATCGGTCGCGATCTATATTGCGTTCCCAACTTCTGTCTATAAATTTTTTTTTTTTTTTTTTTACGATATTTTTTATATACAAATAACAAAGCTTAACAAAGCCGATAACGATAAAATTACAAGATAATAACATCTCTCGTCGTTTGTAATCCCGTTCAACAACTTTCCCTACAACGTCGAACAAACTATTTACGTTTTACCTCAAACTTGCATCGAGTTACGAGAGAACATCCTCG